AACGAATTTTGAATTTTGAATGTTGCATAGTCACCATTAAATACCTTCATCGATCCAAAATAATTTGATAAAAACAATCAACATATAACACGTTTAAATAAACCTACTATGTAGGTAGAAACCAAGCAAAATATATAGGCACCTAAAGAAAAGGTACAAACAATCAACTTGTCTCGCTTGCAGGTAGGATTTGGCATGAATCGGTTTGGAATGATAGAGAGCTTTTCCATTAACGAAACCGAAGTTCGGTTTGGTACATCGGTAGTACCGTTAAAATATAGAATAATAATTTAACTAAACCAAATCAAACCGTCAGTTCGATACAATCGGATGCCCACCCCTCCTTGTAGGTAAGTCGTTACCAATATACCTCCTATTTTGGTAAAAATGTCACAAAGCACATCACAAGTTAACCTCATTTTTAGTATCTAATCAAAAGGTAAAGGTATTGAATTATCTTATCTGATTGATAGGTACATAAGTAAAAAAATTGTCAAATTGTAGTCATTGTGACACATAATAAGCTAAAAAATTCGTAGCAAATTAGCAATCACTTCAACATTAAGCAAAATAAGATACCCAACCCATCAAATACCTCACGTGCAAAACCATGAATACACCCAAATCAAACAACAATGAGAGACATGAAAATTTACTCCAACAAAAAAGAGCAACATCAATATACTACAACTAATACTGCAACCAAAAATATTATACCAATTGTATGTATGCTACCTTTTGCAATTATTTATAACAAAATTCTAAACACAAATATGGTATAAATGATAATACTTCCATGGCCAAAAGGACAAATGATATGCAACTTCCAAAAAGGAAAACAAATGATAACCATAGGAAATACTTGTACGATTGTAACTAGAAATTTAGACACTAATTAAAATCAAAAGTTTTAACAAAGGGTTTCAATCACTTTGTCCTAGACAAGCCATCAAAGGCATTTTGATCTATAGACGCCGAGTTTCCCCTGATGGCTGAAGCCAAGTAACAAAAAGAAGCCTCCCTTTTTCCTCTGAAGAAATCATGCAGTCCCAATCCTCTGATTCGAATCCGGCTGAAAATAAAAAAAGAAAATTAGAAAATGGATATAGTAGTAGCAACCACTAGATAGAATCAAGAGAGCAGAAAATGAATGCATAACAACTAACAAACAGGACAAGAAAATAGACAGATATATAAGCTATGAAAACTTACAGAGGAATTTTTGGCTTTATGAAGAGCCTCTTCAAAAGCAGTACAATCATAACTCGCTTCATCAAACAGGCAGCTTGTTATATCTCTTACTGCTGCCAACCCTGCATAAAAAGTGGTAACATAGAAATGAAGCTAATTTTTATGCATGAATTCTGAGGAATTATTTTACGAAAAAAACTCCGTTACCACTTGATTTTAGTGAAAAAGTAACTCATGGTTTATGCAACCCCAGAAAGTTTACCAAACCCACATAGTTAATCAAAATTTCAATCTAAGTTTAGGATCTGTGGCACTAAGACGCGACCTTCAAGACTGATAAAGCATACAGATTGTATACCATAATTTCAAACTTCTATGCAGTATTAGAGAAGATTAGCAACTTCATACACTTTTTACATGTCTGCAAAATGCAACATATTGGTCACATTTGCTTTAAAGCATCAACTTGCAAAAATAAAAATGAAGAAAGCAAAATTGTGGCAGAGAATTAATGTAACTAAGTTTATGCAACCAATTTTAGAAATATAATTTTAGTACCTCTTCACGTCCTCTGCCTTTGCAATATTGTATAGGGAAAGAAAGGATGGACTGTAAGCAATTGGCTGAAATGACCACTTCTTAGTCGAAGGAATCTTTATTTTTCTGAAGCTCTTT